GCTGGGGGTATTGATAAGAACCAGGCAAGTTTTGAACTGCAGTCCACTCTGTATGAGAATATCCTGGATAAGTAAAATTCACTTTAATCGCGAAACCTAACTTTATTTGAGGAAATACTCAGCAATCAGCCCTTCATTATTTTTTGTTGCCCAGGTTTAGTTCCAATTTTATTTGAGTATATTTGGTCAAGTATCTTAATTTTGTATAGTATAAGAATGATCTTGATGCAGATATCAACGACACACTTTCAAAGTTCATTGTTTTTAATGACCAGTAATAAAATAAGTAATAATAAGGAATAAGTATGGCGTCTCAATACCTGAGAAACTTTAGTTGCGCTTTTGCGAATTTAGCCCATTTGCTCTCCTCAATCAATCCATGCAGTATTTTCTTACGTGTTTTTAGTTTAAAGTTATATATATATATAGGTTTACAGTTAAATATATAACAGTATCAATAATAATGCGAAATATAATATAATATTTTATTATATAGAGGCATAATTCTATCTAGCTTGTATGATATATAAATGTTTATGATTGGCTTGCTGGCCACATTTGTTTAAAAACGAACTTTTGAATGTATTTACGTTGGAACAGTTGATGAGGCGAGTGGAAGGGATTCGTAAGTTTGTTCCACCGAAAGCTGTTTGGGGATTGCTTCGGATCTGTGATTGTAGATTTGTGCGAATAGGCCTTCGGTGCACCGCTCTGCAACCTCGATGAATCCTTATTGAGTTGTCGTCTGTCATGTGACGAAAATCGTCAGAGCAGGACAGCATGCTTAACGATAATTCACCAAAACACAAGGGCAAGAAAGATGGCCTGCTTTAAACCTACCTTCTTCTTCTAGTCCACTTAGATATCTCATGCTTTGGATGGATATCCTATGCTTGGTCTAAAGGTTTGCTCTAAAGTTAAGTTAATTGGCTGTGGATGACATGTGAAGTGGCTGCTGATGAAGTGTGAGACGGATGCCATTGTGCTTAACTTGGATCCCTTTCACTCACCTCTTCAAACGAAATGAAAGGTACTCCAACATCAATCTATTAATGGATTTCTTCGAAGGCCAGTTTTTATACATACCTTTTCGTTGCATTGCTATACAGCGTGCATGTTGGAAATCTCATCTGAATCTGGTCTGATAATTAAAATATCTAAAGAGGATATATTTTGTCTGTCTATCCTTCATTCTCTCAACCTACTTTATGGCCCTCCCTTGAACGATTTTAAACTAACTTTTTGTTTTTATTGCGATTTTCATTAGATATAAAAGATGCATCGATAATATGAAACAACAACTACAGCCATTGGCCATTCGTTTGCATAAGGAATCCGAATCCAAATTAAAAAAAACTTCTAAAATGAGCTATGAGCATGTACATCCAGCAACTGAAGATGGAACAAATGTTCAAAAAGGTGTACTTAAACATATGCATGGTCAGCAACGGATTGCAAATTATAGTGGTAATCGATCCACTCTTCCGAACGAAATTCGTCGCCAGCCTTACTCTCAGGTTTATACTCGATACGGTCATCAGAAAACTTTTATCTCCCGTGTCACATATCCCTTAGTTTCCAATGTTTACCCAGTGGAGATGCTTCTTCCGATCGGAAGGACTCAGCCATCCAAAAGTTCTGGGTTAGGAAGCCGTCATGCAGGCACTTCAGTCCGACTTAGGGACAGGTACTTGACCACAGATAGATTGACCATATGTCAAGCAAATGATGAAAGAATTAAACAAGAGAATAAAAATATGGATAGGGAAGAGCAAATGGTTGAGGAAGAGGCTCATATAGGGAAAACCCAGGATGGGATTCATGAGACCCGAAACAACCAATCGATACATGATGAAGGTCGCATATTGGAGGTTGGAGAAATTCGTGAGCTTAATTCAGAAATGCAATTTTTGCAATACAAATGTGATCCATCAAAATTTTATGTGACAGGAAATCTGACGAATGCATATCAAATTGAACGACCAGATTCTAGAGTATCCGATAACTCGTTGACAGACGCTGACTGCTCACTTTCCAGTTCATTCAATCAGGTTAGCCTTATTAAGAGAGGGTTGCTTACAATAGATTTTACATTGTTTAGTAGAGGATGAGAATAGTTAAAAGGAGTGATTACTTGAAGAATTATTTAACAAAATTGTTCATTTAGCATTGCTCATAGTACTCATATTC